TCTCCTCTCCTCTCTTCTCTTCTCATCTCTTCTTCTCTTCTCTCTTTCATAATTGAAATTTTACCAGTACACTGTACAGACTTTCTCCTGAGAGCTCTGAATCAAATACAGTGGGCCAACGTAACTTAGGTTCTCCAGTTTTGAAGTTCTAGAATACCAGTATTCTTTATTCTATACTATAAATCTTAATTCCATCAATTGCTTTAAACCTACATGTTTTCTATGATGTGCAGTTTTCTTGGCAAGTAAGAAAAAAGCATTATATATGAGGCCCTAAGTCAGGCTGCTGAGTACTTCTGTGTATTGAAACACATTCATACATGGCTTACACGAAGAGATCTTTGTGTTATGTAGACCATAGCACATAACCGCTGAGATGGCTTGATGACACAGCCAATGGAACCTTTGGGGACAATTATGATCCTCTGTGCTGGCTTCTTTGTTCATGGTTGACACATTAGAAGTGAATTCAGTGAGCTTTTAGGGTAAAACTTGACTCTTTTTTTTCTTTCAAATTAAAAAATATTGTCAGCTAAGAAAGTGGAAACTTTGCACAATATAATAGAAGTTTCATCTTCCTGCATTCTGCATGGAATAGTCTAAATATTAACTTAAAAAATAACACAGAAGCCTGGCATGGTGGTGCATGCCTATGATTCTAGAAGTTGAGATGTTGAGTCAGGAGGACCACAAGTTCCAGGCTACCCTGAGCTATGTAGTGAAACCCTGTCTCAAAAAACTAAACCCTTAACAATCAAAAAGGAAAGATGGAGGTGAGATGGCTTGGTAGGCAAAGACATTTTGGCACCAAGCCAGAGGGCCTGAGTTTGATTCCTAGGGTGCTCATGGTGGAAAGGGGAGAACCAACTCCAATGGTTATCCTCTGACCTTCACCTGCCTGCTATGGCACGTATGTCCCCGTGCTTGCACATACACACACAAATAAATGTAACCAAAAAGGAAGATACATGATATTTTCATAATAAATGATATCGTCAGCTATTAATTCAAAGCTGGATAGATGATTGAGATTTAAGAGTGATTGGTGCTTTTATAGAGAATCAGCTCACAACTGCCAGCTCACAACTGTCAGCCAGCTCACACCTGCCTCTAACTCCCACTGTAGGGGTATCTGATACCTCTGGCCTCTGTGGGCATCTGCACTCATGTATACATACTAACATATAGAAATAGACACACTTAATTAAAAATAATAACAATTAATCTTTTTTAAAAAGATGCTAATGTGTTAAAGGGCCAGCAAGTGTTCATGGGGTGGAGGACTTGCCATGCAAGCCTGATGGACTGAGTTCAGCTGCAGTGGGAGGAGAGAGCTGTCCCTGAAAGGTGTCCTCTGATCCCCATGTCCCTGTCCACACATTCTCCCTCCCCCACCCCTCTCGTGTGCACATGCACTCTCACTCTGTCTGTGTGTCTGTCTGTCAACCAAAAGAAATTGCTTACATTTGGGGTTTAGTGGGCAAGCCTGACAACTTGAGTTGGAGTCCCAGAACCCATGTAAAGGTGGAAGTAGAGAACCAGTTCCACAGTGTTGTCTTCTGATTGCCACCTGTGTGCTGAGCATGTGTGCCCACACGTGCTCACATACAATAATAAAGATTTTAAATAGTGTTCAGTGCTGTTGATGTGTAGGTGGGTACATGTATATATAGTGGGGACGGCAGTGAGGAGGAAGGGAGAGCTGTGTAAGTATGTTTGTTTCAGTATAGACTGTCTTCGGAAGAACGTTCAAGTGCTAATTGTTTCTCATAAGGGGTAGGATCAGGTTAGATATGAGATTTGAATTTTGTGTTCTTCAAATTTCTTTTTGCCATATATTTATTACTTTAGAGTATTTTAAATATTTATACTTGGTCTTAGTCAGAAAGCTAAAATAAGATATTTTTAAATGATATTGTCAGCTATTAATTCAAAGCAATTGAATGTGTGTGCTTTCTAAAGGCTAAATTAGTTAACATAAATTTACACATATGCTGGAAAACAGAGTTCCTTTCAGCATACATGATCAAGGTCAGGTTGGATGAATGGGCTGAGAACTTGGTAGCTCTATACAGTCAAGAGCCTATGGAGAGGTGGAAGAACAGTCTGCCATCAGCTCCCTCACTTCCTGACGGTGCTTAACCAGCAGGGGTGAGAACAAGCCATGGCCTTAGAAGGATAGCAGTCAGGCTGTTTCCTGTTCAATTACTAGGAAATAAAAGCTGTAGCATTAACTTGAAGCTATACAAGTAATAAATCCTCCCAGGGTACTGACCTGTTGATGAAAAGGTAGTTCTCAGCCCTTGGGAAGCTAAGGTAGGAAGATGGCACATTGGTGGCCAGCTGGGCTACACAGTAAATTCTAGGCTCAACTGGACTATATAAGGAAGGAGACCCTATCTCCAAAAACAAAATAAATAAAGCAAGCTAATGTGTGAAGCATGCATGTTCCAGAGGGAACACTAGTGAATGATAGTGAAGCCCTGGAGCACACAGCCTTTGGGGCAGTGCTGACCCTGTTTCTGCACTCAGAACAGGTGTCCTTTGATGCTGTCGTTCTCCTGAAGAACGAACCCTGAGTAGTGCTCACAAGCGCAGGAGAGATCTGTGTTGTTTCTTCCTTTCTGGTGTTAGGGAATGACTAAGCAGCCTAGTCTCGCATTTATAAGTGAGCCAAGTTGTGGTGCCAAATATAAGCACCTTGATCACCAGGGCTCTGCTGTGTTCCGTGTCAGCTGCAATCATAGCTCTCCGAGAAACAGACTCGGCCTCCAGAGAAAAGGGTTTCTATTGGAGCTTGTAGGCTTCCCAAAGATGAAACCCAACACACGGGCAATGCAGTTAAAGATCACGAGGCCAGCCCGGCACCAAATCACAAGATGGGTGTTGTGGGACGTCTTTCTGTACACTGTGAATTTATGTTGCTCCCATTGGTTAACAAATAAAGCTGCATTGGCCTATAGCAGGGCAGAATGGAGCCAGGCGGGAAAATCCAAGAGGGATATAGAGAGAAGAAAGGCGGGGTCGGGAGATGTCAACCCGCCACTCAAGGAGCAACAAGAGGCCCACAGTCCAGTAACTCCACTGCCACATGGCAACACATAGATTAACAGAAATGGGTAATTTAAGCAAGAGGCCTGAGCCATAGGCCATACAGTTCATAGTTAATATAAGCCTCTGAGTGATTATTTTATGAGTGGCTTTGAGAGCTCGAGTGGGAGAGATTATTCCGGACCGTGGGACTAGGCAGGACTGAGAAACTTGCCCCTGCAGATGGGAGTCAGGACTGGGGTTATATAGCTCAGTGGTGGAGTGCTTACTTAGCATGAGTTCAATCCTCAATACCTCAAAACACAAAAACAGAGCTGGGTGGTGGCGCACGCCTTTAATCCCAGCACTCAGGAGGCAGAGACAGGCGGATCTCTGAGTTCGAGGCCAGCCTTGTCTACATAGTGAGTTCCAGGAAAGGCGCAAAGCTACACAGAGAAACCTTGTCTCGAAAAATCAACCAACCAACCAAACAAAAAACAAACACACAAAAACAGAACAAAGTTATTTGAAGTGCAATATAATAGTTGTATGAAATATCAAAGCTGGGAAGTGGAAGCTGGACACATGGTCACATGCCTGTCAACCCAACACTTAGAAGGTAGAGGCAGGAGAATCAGAAGTTCAAGGCAATTTTTGGCCACATAGTGAGTTTAAGGCCAGCCTGAGCTACATGAGACCCTAAAAGCCAAAGAAAAGAAAACATTTAAAACCAGAATGGTGAAACTGATCATTTAGTAAGACTGGGAATGGTATTGAGAGAGATCTGAAGAAGAATTTAACAGAACATACAGAATAGCTTACAGTTGAAGAGAAAAACCCTGATAAAAGCCCAGGGAAACCAGATGAGTCTGCCAAACAGAGAGGTCTGCATGTGTGACTTTGAGTGCCGGTGACCAGACCTGTGCCCAGTATCAGATCCCCATATCCTTCCCAGACATACATGGGAAACGGAAAAAAATCAGAATGGACTATTTTGTAAAGCAAGGCAGGCAATACAAAAACCTTGTGGTTTGCTACCTTCCAAACCATATAATTCAGATATGTAATTAAATTAGAAGATAATAATGAAAAGATTAATTACAGTATATATGAACTTGGAAATTTTAAGTATTTTTCTAAATTATAGTAAAAAAACAAATACAAAATTAAAAATACTTTTTAACTACAATAGCAATACTAAAATTCTTAAAAACCCTCCCAAAGTTGTTGAGTGAAGCTGACGCATAATGCTGAAAAGAAAAAAGACGGATGTTCTAATCCTAGTTTAGTTAAATAAGACTGGTAAGTTAGTACACTGGAAACAGTGTTCTGTGGAATTTCAGATTTCTACAACCCTTTGGGTAAATGGGAATTTGAAAATAAAATTCTGCAGTGTTTGGGACAGCAGCAGTACAGTCAGAAACCAAAGGAGGGCTCAGAACAGTGGTGGGAGAAGAGAAAGGGCCGTGCACGGAGGAAGAGAGGCTGGAGCCAGTGAGGTTACTGGAGCAGCAGGTGAGGGGGAGCAGACTCCACCAAAACATGCAGACCTTGTTAAAAATGCTTACACCTGGTTTCTTGTATACTAATTACCAAAAATAAAAACAGAATAACAACAAATCAAAAATCCAACTCATTGTTAGAAAGGAGTCAAACCAACGTGAAGAACAGGGAGAGATTACTGAAGGTGTAAGCAGAAGTCTGCTGCTGACCTAACAGCACCTTAAACTGCAAGTTAATTAATCATTAACTGTGTCACTTGTCCAAAATGGTGGAGGCTGGCTGATGCTTGGCTTGGAAGAGCAGGCACAGTAGTCCATGGTTATCTGAGAGTATGTTGTGTATATTTTGGTTTTAGTCTGTTTCTCTTTTATTTTTCTCTTTGTAGAAAAACGTTAATGTGTATGGATGTTTTTGCCTGAATTTCTTATATGTCTGTGCACCATATTCATGCTTGAAGAGGGCCTGAGATCCCTCGAACTGGACTTGGAAGCCACTGGGTGGGGTGCTGGGAATCAAGCCTTGGTGCTCAGGAAGAGCAGCAAGTGTTCCTAACCACGGAACCGTATTTGTAGCCGTGAGAGTATTTCAAGTTTTTCTTTGGTATGATTCTGCCATGTGTTTTGTGTCTATGTCTTTAGCAGATTACTCTGTAGAAAAATAGGGTCTGTTTACGACTGGTACAGAAATGAAAATAAGTGGTTCACAAATGCACGGAAACTTTTTCAGCTGCACTGAGGAGTAGACCAGCAAACTGAAACCACAGGGAGGATGTGGCTTTAAACAGTGCTGAAGGACTCCTGGGAAGCTACTTGGAGGTGCACACAGTTGGCCTTGGCAGTCCTTAGTGAAGCATTGAGCAAGGCCTCAGCATTGCAAAGGCTTGTTCTTGATGCAGCAGCTCCATTCTAGATGCTTTTTGCCCATACTTGGCAAGCACAGGGTTAGTCTTTGGACAACAGCTGTGCATGAATGTCCTTGCAAAATCTTCCAGAGAAGTGTACAAGAAACTAGTAAATGTAGTTAACTGCGTAGGGGAAGTGGGGATGGGAAGGGAGACTGTCTCTGCATTTTGTTGTTCTTCTGGACTGTGTATTGGTTATGCAACAAGTTGAATGATGTGCTGTAGGTGGGGTGAGCTGTTACAGAGATCAGTCTGATACTAATTGAAGTTAAGGTGTAAGCCATTCATGCTTATGGGACAAAATTCAGTCTGAACTTGGCTCGTTAGAGAAAATTCCTTATTTTAACCAAAGGAGGTGACTTGGTGGCACTTGTGGGCATTCTTTATATTTCTAACTACAAGTATTTAGATTCACGGTGCTTAGTGTCTTCTTAGCTGAAAGCAGCACCATGGACCATTCTTTTGGATGTAAGGAGAAGAAAGTTGAGTGTTACTCATATAAATATGTTTCCTTTGACTTGAATTGACAGCGTGGAGACACACACTAGGGCTAGAAACCTTCCTGCTTGACCAGTGGTAGGAAGATGTTAAAAGTAAACAACTGAAGTTTGTGGGGTTTTAGCGAAGTGCAATTTTGATTTTTTTTGTTCTAATAAAATTGTAGCAAATTTGGAAAGTTAGTAACACAAATTCTCTGGGAAATGAAAATGCCCTTTTAAACACAGTAGTGATATATCCATAAATTCACTCTGGTGGTTTTCATCTGGCTGCAGATTTGTTTTAATAATGTGTAATTTCTTTTTCAGAATCAGTATAATCTAGCACGGGCCCAACAATCCTATAATTCCATTGTACAGATACATGAGAAAAATGGTATGTTTAATTCAATAAGTACTTATTGCCATTCATGAAGTTGTACACAGCATGCTGGTGTTTGCCTTGTTCATTCCTGTGGTTTTGTCTTAATTTTTTATCAAATATGTTAATTACATTGGGGGGGAAAAAAAACCTTAACTGTATTCATAATCTTGCAACAAATCTTAACACTGTTTCTTTCTGTGCTCTGAAGACTTGACTGAAATGCCATTGAGTCAGAACCAAGAAATTAGCTTAATGGTTAAATCCCTTTGCTCAATTGAAATATACTTTGTAAGTAAAAGAATTGTACATGCAACTTTGTATAGGAGCTCTCATTGTAGTTGAGCAAGCTTAGCAGGATCATGGCTATCTGCTTCTGAAACATCTTCAGATTAGTACTTGGGTAGACCTCCCTCCCTCCCTTCCTTCCTTCCTCCCTCGGGGTCGAACCTAGAACCCCCACCAGGGCAAAGCATTCTACTGCTGAGATTCAGGTTTGCTGTTTGAGTCGTCTGCCTTGTCTTTCTTTTCCTTTTCTTTTCCCTTTCCCTCCCCCCTGTTTTGTTTTTTTTTGTTTTGTTTCACTTTTTAAGATAGGATCTCACTAAGCTGCCCAGGCTGGCTTTGAGATCACTCTGCAGAGTCTTGCTTCAGTCTCCCCAGTAGCTGGGATTACAGGCCTGCATCATTTAGCCTGGCTTGGAAGACCTATTTGCAAGTGCCATTGATGTGGCTTCTTAGCTCTGCGACTTTGAAAAAGTCCTACGATTCATTTAGAAAAGAAATATTTGTTTTGTGTGTTTGCCACCACACACACCATGTGGGTTCTGAGAATCAAACTCAGATTGTCTGGTTTGGTGGCAAATACCTTCACCCGCTGACCATTTTACCAGCCTCTGTGGTCTCTTTGAGCCCCAGTTTCCTCATCTCTAAAGTTGGCAGTGTCTGTTAATAAACATGAGGAAAAAGAATAGTGCCTCTGCAGAGCACTTTGTAACCAAGTCCTCTGAACAAAGAAGTCATTGTGATAGCAGAGGGAAATGAAAGCCCTTTGTGTGGAGCAGAAGGAAGGAGTCTCCTTAGAGTAGGTAGGTAGGCATCTGTAGTCAATGGTCCTAACTTTCTAGAAACATGTTAGTTAGGCCTCTGATCCCACCTCTGGGGAGACAGGGAAGGGACGATTCTGGGGCTCTCTGAATTATTGAGCTCCAGAGAAGGTATACACACATGTATGTTAGTTTGTATGTTTAGATTTGAATCTTGCACTCAATTTTATTTTAATGACAATGCCAACTTGACACTTTGTCAGTGATTCCTTATAGAAATAATATTCAAAACCAAATCTTGAGGCTTCAAAGGAAGGTCTTACAACATAAGGTTAAGTCCAGGCTTTCATAATATCACTTCTAGTTTCTCAGCTGAGTATGTTCCAATGCTTGCTTTGTACCAGGCATGACTGAGCATCTAATTGCCTTTCTAGGAGAGTTGAGAGTTGTGTGGAGTTTGAGCAACAGTCAGGCTTGCTCCTCTTTCCTCTCTTAAGGCAAAACCTACAATTGGCATTCAAAGATGTTTATAGAAAGTGTGTGTGTGTGTGTGTGTGTGTGTTTAAGCAAACCCTGCATTGATGAAAGAGCAATGGATTCAGAATCAGAGATAGCAATTTTAAAATGTTTCCAAGAATTTTCATCTTTTGTGTTTATCACATGTAACTCGATGTCTGGACATACATTATGAGATTACTGACTCTGGGATGGACTGCCTTAAAAAGCTAGAATTTTAATATGACAGTACTAATGTGTGTTTTTTTAAATTCTAATTGCCAGGTTTCTTTTAAATACAGAATTGAAATGGAAGGTTAGCATGTGACTGCTGTTATTCCACACTGTCATTATCAGCTAGGAATACCATTTATATAGAGATGCTGAAAACTCAAGTGTGGTTTATTCATAAGCAGTGACTTGATACTGTGAACATATCAGAATGCTGGATTAATAACCAAAAAGCAAGTTTAAGTTTCTACAGTAGTGTTAAACATCAAAATTATGAGTAGAGACTGGACCTCATCTTAGGAGTGCCTTTTCCTAGATGCTTCAAGGATTGAAGTAGTTAATGTTTTTTCCATTTTATTTCAGGCTGGTATACACCTCCAAAGGAAGATGGCTAACTACGTTGACATATGTCTGGACCAATGTTGCTTTAAAGAAAATCGTTCCAACGTGCAGACATAAGCTTTTGAGTGCCCGTATAACAGCAGTACCGAAGACATTAGCTAATAGATCATTTAGTGGATAATCTGTCAACTGACATCCAGATACAGCCTTTTCATTTTGCTCACTTTAGGTATCTTGGACTGAACAGTGGGGCCTTTACTGTATTTTTCCTGATAAGTACACACAATAGCCACTCCCTACCACCTCTTTCTTGAAAAGTGAAATCTTTTAAGCAAGCAGGGAAGTCAGCATCAGTTTACTGCAGCTGTGAATTTACAGTAACCTTCATATATTGAGCCTATGGGGTATGAAGATTTGCAAAATCCTGTTCATTTAGAGCCAATAAAAGTTTAACTGATGGTCAATACTGGTTTAGGAATTTTAGGTCTTCTAAACCATAGTGTTTTCAGGTCTGAAATCTTTTTATTGCCAAAATTATGACAGGAAGCCTCTTCATTAAATTGTTAACTTTTTCATGGTTGTGTGAAGGTTTAAACTGTTTCTGGAAGTATGATCTTAGTTGTATTGTATCATATTAGGTAAAGCAAAGTGAGCCAGCCATTTGTGAGCAGTAATTTCCACTGGGATGGCAGAGTCCTGCTGGGCTCAACCTGCCTCCTGTTGGTTCAACATTTCTTGGGAAGAGCCACAATGTAGAGCCTGAAGTTCTAAAGTATGAGGTCATTTTACCTTCCCACTTATTAACGGGGTGTTGCAATTGTTGATAAACTAATAAACTTGTCAAGTGATTGGCACAAAGACAGACTCCTTGAGCAGAAGTATAAAAGACACCTAAAATTGGAGACCCTGAGATTTTTTGCTGTAGTCATCCAGTGGCTTTTACATCAGAAGACCAGTAGGGATTCAGCATATGTTAATTCTTTTATAAAATGTGACACAAATCAATGTACTTCCCATTTTTTGCCTTATGTGAATCAGTCCTCTTTGGTTGGTAATAGTTTTTTTTTTTTAATTCTGAATTTGATTTAAGTATAAACTCTAGCTATTAAGCACTTTTAAAAAAGAAACCCAGAAGCACATTTTCCTGCACAAACCAGTACAAAGTTTTGTTTCTTTTTTTTTTTTTTTTTTTTTTTGCTTTTTGAGATAGGGTTTCTCTGTGTAACAGCTCTGGCTGTCCTGGAACTTGCTTTGTAGACCAGTCTGGCCTCGAACTCACAGAGGAGTGCTGGGGTCAAAGGCGTCTACCACTACTGCCCAGCTCAAAAGGTGTTTCTTATACACTTGATTTGTGATTCTTTTTTTTTTTTTTTTTTAACTTTGTAAGCCACATTCAGGAAACTTGGCACTTGTGCATTTTGTGTGTGTTTTTAATTTCTCCTGATTCTGTTCTGTTGGTTAAGAGGACAGGTGAAGATACCTGGTATTCTTGCTCCCTTGGTTACCTTCAAATGATTCCAGTGCTCAGATAACAAGTGACAAGGCAGAATTAATTCCTCAAAGCATTATAAAGTTCCTTAAGCCTAAGGCAGAATCTTGAATACATTGTTGAATTCTTTCATATCCTCATGGCTAGCAGATTGACAGCTGCACATTTGGCATGCTTTGTTTTTTGGATTTTATTTTTCATTGCAGATTTATTTGGCAATGTACAGTAAATTTTGTAAACTTGCATCAAGTTTATGAATAAAGAACCATTTAAAAATTGCTTTGTCACCTTTCCCTCATAAGAAATGTTATGATTCAGGTGTCTTTAGGCTCTGTTGAAGTTCTAGTGTAGAGTATTTAGAGAAATGGGGTGTGGGGAGGTTTCTGGGGCGGAGATGGAGATTGATTTAATGAGAGGCAGGAAACCTAGAGAATTGGTATGTACACACGTAGTGCACTCAGTTTTTCTTTATCCTTTTCCCTTATGTTCTTTAAATTCACATACATGTGGGTTTGGGGTATTTTTGTTTGTTGTTGTGGGTTTTTGTTTTTGTTTTTGACTATCCCACTCTCCAGCCCAGGCTGGCTGGCTGGGAACTTGTGGCTCAAGTGCTATTTGAGTTAATATCCCTAATTTTCTCAAGATATTACTAGCACTTTTATACTCACGGCCCTTATACACACCACTATCAGAGTATCTCATAAGAAGCCCCGTGGGAGGAAAGCTCTAGGCTCAGTATGTTTGGATAATACCCTTTGTCTCCTGGATTGAAATTTCCCATGCTAGTTTTATCTTTGGTTTAAATGTTATGTCTGGATGCCGTCCGCCCTACTTCATTCAGAAACAGTGGCCCTCTCTGAAGGTCCCCTTAGGTGTGAAAATCTTTAGAAGTCATCTCCTTAAACACATGGCCCTCTGTTTTCCCTAGTCCTTATCATGTGTCACTGCCTCCGCCCCGCCAGTGGTTCCATAGAGTAGTTTGACCCTGAGACCTGCTGGGGTTTTTTATTAACAGAAAGCATTATAGTTGTCACACATTCCCTGTGTACAGTGGAGTTTTTGGAGACTATGGCATTTATGTGTTTGCTATTAAGTACCTATAAGGTTTTCAGAGTAAAGTGGCAGTTTGTTATTGAGGGAGGAGAGTTTTTAAGAGTTTTTTCTCTATTTAAAAAAAAATACCAAGTTGTTCATGTGTTTTGGTTATCCCATGTTAAAATATTTTGGGGTTGGGGAGTCCAGGTTAGTTTTGGTTTGTGAACCTCCTGCCTCCAGCTTGCTAGATTGCAGGCATGAACCACCATGCCCAATCCAAAATGTCCTAATAGGTAAATATAACAGCGTCAAGGGTCATGAGGCCAAAACAAGAAGCACCAGGCCCCACCAAGTAGCTGGGGACTGAAGCCCCCTCAATAAGGAAACAACTGTATTCAGTTGGAATGAAGCTGCAAGTGCTGTTGCTTTCGTTTGTGGTTCAGAATAGTTACGTGAACCACCGGAGAGTTGAAGATTGTTGGGCCTTGTTCCCTGTGATTCAGCAGCCCCGGGATGAAGATCTAGTACGTGTCAAAGCATAATAATTTCCTATGTGAAAATACCTGTCTGGTTTGGCGTGTGCTTCTAGCAGCAATTACAGTTAGTGGTCAAAGAAGGGGAGTGCTATTTAAAATGCCAACTCGTTTAAAAGTTAAGGGCTAACGTGTTAACTAGATTCTCCGAATAAATCGAATGCTTGCAGCCGGCCCAAAGGCCAGGCTGCATCGTTCCTTTCCGGGCGGAACTTTGCGGGCGTTACAACTCGGCGCACCGCTGCTGCTGCGGCTGTGAGTCCAGTGCCGGAAGCTGCCCGCCGGAAGTGGCGCGCGCGCCTGCGCAGTGGGCTCGGGTGGGCGGTGGTGTGCCGGCTGCCCGGGTTCTTCCGAGCTTCCGTAGGGTTTCTGGCCGGTAGGCGAGGAATGGAGTTGGTGGGCGGCGGCGGCGGCTCCTCCTCAACTGACCCGCGAAGTACCTACGTGCTGAGTAACCTCGCGGAGGTGGTGGAGCGTGTGTTCACCTTCCTGCCTGCCAAGGCGCTGCTGCGGGTAGCCGGGTGAGGGCGAATGGGGCAGGGGACTTTGGTCCCCGTGGGTGGCGGCTTTGCCCAGACCGGGACCCCTGCACGGGTCTCCTGGCGTTCGGCCGCTGCAGCGCTGCTGACGGCGGGAACGACCCTCCCGGCGGCAACCTTTTGTGCTTTTGCGTCCCCAGAGTGTGCCGCCTATGGAGGGAGTGTGTGCGCAGAGTGCTGCGGACCCACCGCAGCGTGACCTGGATCTCGGGCGTGGCGGAGGCCGGCAACCTGGAAGGACATTGCTTGGTCCGCGTGGTAGCAGAGGCGCTTGAGGCAAGTATGGGTGTGTGCCGCCGACAGTCATTTGCAGGCCTGGTGGGCCATCTTTGAGAACTTTTTTAAAAAAATCACGGTTGTGATACATGCCTTTGCTTTTGCTAATTTGGGGGCCTTTGCTCGTGGTCTGGAAAGACTTTGTAATAGACGTCGGGTTTTGTAAGGGCATGCTGCGGTTTATTCATTATTAGATATTGAGCAATTGAAGTTTACAGGTGTTCACTGTTAAAACGCTCTGTTTTGCAAAGAAGGCATTTTTTTTTTTTTTGCCCAGGGTCACACACTAGAAGAACTAAATCTTCTACCTAAATACTTAAGCCACAGTCCTTTTCTCATTTTTATCCCTGGATCCAGGAAAGTATGGGGAGGTCAAGACAGATTATAGAGCTGATAGTGAAGCTCCGGTATCTCGGTGAGTGGCAGAGACCCTTGAGAAGAAATGGCCAATTTGATGGTCTATTACTCATTATCCTTTAGTATGTATAGTATGCAAACATGGAAGTTCTCGTCAACCACAATGCAGCCTCCAGCTTGGGAAATTATCATCGATGCATGTGTTGATTAGAGGTTTTTTGGTTTTTGTTTTGTTTTTGTTTTTTGTTTTTTGTTTTTTTTCAACGTAACACAAGCTGGAAATGGGGAACCTCAAGTAAGTGTCTTCATCAGATTGGCCTATAGACGGGTCTGTAAAGTGCTTTCTTGATTAATGTTTGGTGTGAGAAGGTCTAGCCCAATGTGGGCTGTACCGCCCCTGGGCAGGTGGTCCTGGGGTGTATGAGAAAACACTGAGCAAACCTTCTGCTTTAGTTTCTGCCTCCAGGTTCCTGCCTTGGTTTCCTTTAGTGGACTGTCACCAGGGATATGTAAGCCAAATAAGGAACTAAACTAAGATAAACATTACCTAGAAAGACCTCTGAAGCTGGCCTGAAGGGGCTCTCACTAGTCAAATATGAAATAATTTTAGCACCAAAATAAAAGCTGATAGGAACAAATACATCCTTCAGTAAGAGACTCCAAACATACTACTGTCAAATTTTTGGCTTCCCATTTATATTTTGCCCCAGTACTGTTCTTGATAGCAAAAGTATTCAATTCCCAGTGATTTTTGACTAAAAAAAACCACGTTTCTTTGATTTGTTTAGTTTACCAGCCTCAACACTTAAGAAAATTCAAAGTCAGTTAATTTGTAGAACATTCACAAATTGAGTGTGACTGAGGCTTATTAGATTTTGTATTTTTGTCAGGAACGATGGGAAAGCAAGGGTGTGTTCCTTTCCCGGCATCTTTCCATGTGGCCTCTGGTTTTCCTGTTTGCATATGCTGTTGTCTCTTATTCAAAGATATATCTGTTACTGTATCTGTTTTGTGCTCACCCTGTCTTTGGTTTGGCGAGTGAGCTCCCAGTCCAGCTCCACTGTCTTTTAGGGATGGCCTTTTTTTGGTACCAGATGTTTTTAGCTTGTTTTTTGCCTGCTTCATTCAAGAAATGAGTGGTTTCTCTAATAGTCCTGGTTTCTTTTAGTGGAAAATGGTATTTAGCATCGACATTCTGTACTGTGTAAATATTCACTGCTTTAGAGTTTGCTGCCTCTAGCTCAGATAGCCCATGTGTATGTGTATGTACGTATGTGTATAAGTGTATGTGTATGTATATGTGTATGTATGTGTGTATGTGTATGTATTTGTGTATGCAGATGCAGATGCAGTTCTTCCATGTTGTCAGGGTATTAGTTGCCCCTTGTTGAAGTCACTCAAAAAATATTTGTGTTAACCTGTATAGCTCACCCTCCCATTTAAATTCAAATCTCTAGATTACTAATACCTGCTTTCTCTAAGTAGGCTATATTAGTAAATAATGGCACGGGAAAAGTTTGTACATACTCAGTACAGATGCCTCCCCCATTTTTTGTTTTTTTAAATAGCCACATTTGAATCCTTGAATGAAGAGAGAGCTGACCATATGTGTATCTGGAACTATATTTCTGTCAGTACATGGAAAATCATGAGTTCCCTTACGTGCACCCAACCCAAATAAGATTTTGCCTCACTTCCTCTCTGCTCATATTTATATCTCCCTTTTTGATGGTGGGAAACCTGGCTCTTCAAAAAAAACCCAAAACAGATTTTATTTGTGTGTGTCTGTGTCTGTCTGTCTGTCTGTCTGTCTATGTGCATGTGTGCAGATGCCCATGGAGGACAAAAGAATGCATCATATCCTTTGAAGCTGGAGTTAGCAGCTGATTGTGAGTTGTATGAACCTGTGCTCTGAAAGGACAGCAGGCGCTCTGATCTGCCCAGCGTCTCTCCAGCTCTGGCCCTCATCTTTAATGTGTCTGTCCCGAGTATGTGTCTTTGGTTCCATGCTGTCTTGTGCAGGCTTTCTTCTTTGCTCCTTGGACTCTTGAACTTATACCCAGAAAGCTGGCTAGCATCTCCCAGGCCTGTTGGAGCATTGTTTCTCTCTGATACGTTGATCAAAACCCTACAGTCGCTGTTTTTAAAAATCTGTTATTTGGGAAAATTCAAAATACTAGCAAAGCATTTTCCACAGAAGTGTTCTTTGAAGCCTCATGTACAGCGAGGGAGCTTAAAACAACCTGCTGATTCATAAAAGAAGGATTAAATCATAAATCACAAGGTACATTCAGTGATGAGAAAAGCTTCATAAGGGGCTGGCGAGATGGCTTCGTGGTTAAAAGAGTCTGCTGCTTTTCCAGAGGACCCAAGTTCAGTTCCTAGCACCCGCATTAGTGGGTCAAAACTGCCTGTAGCTACAACTGATTTCTGAGGGCTCCTGTACAAGCATGGCACACACTTAGACATATATACAAGAAATAAAAATTTTAAAATGTTGGAAACATTAGATTATTTAGTGTAATCTAGATTAATATA